GATAAACACCCCTTTTTGGGACTTTGTTCCAAGAGGTTTGTTCCTTACACAATCGTCTGATCCTCTTTAATTGTTAGCGACAAATCGACGCGAAACACTATCATTTCTTGATTGGGCTTGTATCCTTGTAGCACATGCACTTGGACATGAAAAAACCTAATAACATCATTTGTCAACTGGTCAACTTTTCAATATTCCATAGATAGATAGCTTGCGACAATATTAGTGCTAGAGCTTTTAAGACATAAAAAATCCACAACAAAGCTTCTGTACTTCAAGTGTGTGAACAAACACAATAAAACATAATCCGAGTATTGAGCAAGTAAAAGGTGATTGAATTACCGCCAGGATCATTAGCAGCTATGACTCCATCCATGAAGCCTCCAAAACGTTCTCTGCCAGCTTCTAAATCATTTACAATAAGTTGGGATGGGGACCCAAGATCCTTGGACCCTGAAAATGCATTACAGGAACAAAATGAGATCGCAGAGCACACAACTGCAAATCTTTCACTGGCATTAGCTTAATAAATGGCTTCATTGGCAAATCTTTTTTCTAATCTTATTTTTATTGATTGTGCACTGTATCCTTATAACGCATAAAAAAATCCATAACAGGAGTATTGTATATTAAGCATACGAGAAAATACAATAAAACATAATTCATGTACTGAGTAAGTAAAAAGGTCATAGAATTACTATCTGGATCATTAGAAGCTATGACTTTGTGTCCATGTTGTTCCTTGCCAGCTTCCGAACTATTGAAAATATGTTGGAGTGGGGATACAAGACCAATGGCCTCTGAAACTGCATTAAAAAGAACTAAATGAGGAGATTGCAAAGAGCCATTAAGTTTCCAAACCATTAAAAATATCTCAGGGTGGGGACACAAGATCCCTGGCCCCTGTAACTGCATTAAAAAGAACTGAAAGAGGAGATTTCAATGAGCCTTTAAGCTTCCAAACCATTGAAAATATATCAGGGAGGGGACACAAGATCCCTGGCCGCTAAAACTGCACTTCCAGAACTGTATAAGAAGATTGCAGAGCACATAACTGCAACTTTTTCTCCAAACAAAGGATCTTATTTAAGCCCTTGATGATTTCCAACAGTAACGGAATATTGGAGTCACTATGCATATCAAAACTGGATAGAAGGATTAAGCACTAATAGTTCATGAGAAAACACATTCTCAGTTGCATCTGGTTCCTCAAAAAACACTATGCCATAATCCAAGTTAACCCTTCAAGGCTTCAACTTTTTTATTTAGGACAAGATAGATAATTGGAAACTTACTTCTCGATACAATGTATAAAGATAAATATTAAAACTGTTCAATTTGATCTAAATATACTTTGGCATTTTGGGAGAAACACATGTTGTGCATTTCATCCTTAAAATATAAATTTCTTCGCAACACCATAACCAAGTCTTCCAAAAGTGAAATTGAGCAGTGGAACATTTTTTTAAATATCATAAAACGATCGTTGGACATCAATTAAAGTGGAAAGACTCATGACTTTACCTCTGCTCCAGAAGGTAAGGCTGAACAACAGAACGTCCAAAGGGGTCGATTTGCCAACCGATTCTTGGAGTGACATTGAACTCTTTTTTAATAAATCGGTGGCCCAAAGCTGTCTGGTATATCATGTCAATGTAATGTGTTGCCGCCTCATCATGCATGCACATACCACCATTTCTACATTTACATGAACAAATGGATAAAATGTATCACCTATCATCGAAGAGTTGAAGGAAGAAAATATAATCTTCTTTAACTTTCATACTTACTACATGAGCAATCAATTAAGCCAGTGCGTGGCGACTGTTTGTAATTTGTTTATAAACGGTCAAATCACTTTTTATCAACACATTCCATGGAATCGACAATTCATTTGAACCGTTTATATACAACTCCAAACATGTTATAAATTAAAAACACATACATGTAGCTGTTTATTCTCAAGGCACAAGCAAAGATCATCTAATTTTTCATAATTATTTATAGAATTGTAAATGCTATTAGCGTAATATTGTATGATGTAAAAATAGTACATCATCTCTAGTTGACCCGAGCTAACAAGAGTTATGACTGTGTTTTGCATTGCTTCACTCTGATCTTCCCACCACCGCTGGAAAAAAGCCTGTGTCACGAGCAATTATATCAACGTGCATTTCATGGGAAGAACCATGGTTTAATTGAAGAAGAAGAAGGTTGATAGTTTCACCTGTTCAACATAAATAAACTTTCTGTTTTTATCAGTCAATAGTGCTGGAATCAATGAATCCAATACGTTCTGAACACACGCTTCCTGCATAAAAACCAACATATTGAACAGATAAAATTCAATCAACTTCAAAAATGACACTACATCCACGATTTCAATAATTTTCCAAATAATATACTTATTCATAACCAATTCCCAGATAGTCATTCGTATTATGAAAATATCCAGATTAATACGAATGAAGCTCATAAGAAATAGAAATAGAAAAAGTAAAAAAAAATAAAGGGAAAATGGGGGAATGCACGGAGAGAAAAGGGAAAAAACGCTAATTGGAGTGTAAAACTCTCCAAGCAATCCTCACAATTGATAAGCAAAACTAAAATTTTCACCCTAAGGAAAAAAACCTGGAGACACGGAGACACGGATCAGCGTCTCTGTCGCGCACGGAGACACGATCCGTGCGTCCGTGCGCGACGGAGCCACTGTCGTCTCTCCTTGCCGGTAAATTTAAGGTGGAAAGAACCTACCTTTCCGGCGGCGGCGGTGAGGCACGGGCAGGAGAAAGGAAACGAGGGAAATGCCAAACGGTGCAGCAGCGGCGATGAGGCACGAGCAGGAGAAGCAATTCTCAGATTCGCTAGGGCTTTTGTGTGGGGAGAGATAATGTATGGTTGAAAAAAAAGAAAAAAGTATTGATGTGATGAAAAATATTATTTTATTGAAGAATGTGTGGTTGAAAATGAGAATTGATTTACTGTAGAAAATGAGAATCTGTACCAAACAGGCTCTTTATATTGTTTAGGATTAGGATTAGGATATGCAATTTATAATAATATTATCTACAATTGTTATATATTTCGCAATTATTATTATTATTTCGTGATTTTGTTCTTGTGCGAAAATGTTTTCTTTAGAAATGGGTGCATTGAATGGCTTAGACTTAGTGACTTGATTAGGGGTGTTAAAAGATTCGAGCCAAGCCGCTCGACTCATCAAAGTTGGGCAATTTGGCCCATCACATGAGTCGACTTATGCTTGTTCGTGAGATTAGCCGGGTGCAGCTGACTTGCTTCACCAAAGTGTGGCTTGACTCACTCCTTGGTGGAGCGAGCTGCTCATGGCACACCAATTTGTTTACATAATGTGAATTGAAAATTGCTCTTTCACTTCCAAGAAGTATTATGAAACATGTAAATATGTAAAGTCATGTTAAATGTAAATAATTATATTTCGTCAAAAGCTTTATAAAATTGTAAAAACACTAGTGCTTGAAACTTGCTACAATACGTACATGAAGTTAAAATTGTACACGAATATATATTTCATTTAAAATAAATAAATGAAAGCTTAAAACATGAGCGGCTGGGGAGCCATAGGCGAGTTGGCTCACGTGGCTCACAATCCAACTCATGCAACAAGTAAGGTCAACTCAGGCATGTGCCTACAACTTATTACCTTTGGACATGAGTTAGTCTGCTCGACTCGTAGGTGGGGCGAGCTGATGACGGCTCACCCCACTTCCTACACCTAGAGTTGATGGCAAGTGCTTCATATTATTGCCAAAGTATCCTTTAATAATTTAATTAATTACGCTTTAGGAAAGGAGCTATCATTTGACAATGCTACCTAGTGGTAGTTTCACGATTTAACGATAAGTATTATTACACATAAATAAATGATAGTCATTATGTTACTTAATAGCCAATTCGATATATTTAGATTCTCACTCCACCTCAAAGTGTGTAAGGGAAAAATGTTTCACGTGTTTGCAAGAATTGGATATTGAGTATAACCGTACAAGTTTTTTTCCTCAAAATAATTAAGGTTTTATTCGAATATTAGCACTAGGCCAACAACGAAACTAATATGGTCTAAAAATCTTGGTAGTTGAAAGTGAAATTTCACATAATACAATGCTTGGTGCTAACTATGTGTTACGTAGGTGCATATTTGAAAAATGATTAAATTAAAATTTAAGTAATTATAAGCTGTAGCGTGAATAAAATCTATTTGGTACCATATATAATTTATTTATAATGGATTAAACATATTTTTTATCCATATATTTCGTGGAACTTACAAGTAGTGCTCACTTATATACTAATTTAATCTATTTTACACTTTAAACCAATTATAATTACTTCCCGGATATGCACTATTATAATTTAATCAATTTCCATATGTGGACTTCCATGGATGCACCCTGCTCAAAATTAATGTGAGTTAATTTGACATATTTTGTGCAATCCACCTCCTAGCTAAATTATATAATCGATATATTTAGGAATAATGTTATGTATCTGTACTACAGGTAATCACAAGTCTATATGGCAGTTTGATCATTGCCGCATTAATATAAATACATTCTAACTCCATTTAACGATTTGACAGTAATCACAATATCACATATGCTTATAATATTATATTCTCTTTGAAATAACACCTGATTTTTTATTTTTCCTTTTTGAATCCACACTTGAATTATATGCATATCATG